GTTTATTCATTTTTGAGAGACAGAGCACAAGTTGGGAGGGGCAGAGAGAGAGGGAGACACAGAATCCAAAGTGGGCTCCAGACTCTGAGCTGTCAGCACAGAGCCTGACGCGGGGCTCAAACTCACGAACTGTGAGACTATGACCTGAGCCAAAGTCAGAAGCTCAACTGACCGAGCCACCCAGGCACCCCTCTGACACGTTATTTAATATTTTTCTTTATCTCACTTTTCAACTTAAATGCTATTAAAAGGTAAACTTTAATAAGAAAATTAATATAAGCATACTAATATGTTAATATTTGTAGAATTTGAGTGGTGAGTATATGATTGTTTATTATAAGTCTTTAAACTTTCCTGCATGTCTGAAAATGTACATTAATAGGATGTAAGGGAACAAATTAGATAAACTACCACAATGGGGGAAGAAAGCAGCATAACATTTAAAAAAATATGTAATAAAAACAAAGTAATCGAGTAATAAATTTCATTTACAAAATTTATCCCGGGGCAAAAGGATTTTAATGTTTTCTTCTTCATGTTTTCCTATGTTCTAACTAATTTGCAAAAGTACAAGAAAGCTGAACAACCCCCACATGGCTCTTGCTGGCATTAGTTGTCTTTATCCTTATTTAGAGGATTCTGTGCCACCCCATCCCCCCTCACCTAGTTAGATGGAGACTAACTGTCCTCTTTGCACTGAAGTAGGTTCATCATTTGAATACAATTTACCTTCTGTCCTTCTCCTGTAACCAGGTAACAACGTCCCAGCATAAATCGACAGGAACCAATGTTGACTTGACACCAGGGATGGAGCAGTTGAATATAATCCTGAAAGGCATAAAAGGTGCTTTCTGATTAGAAAGTAAGTGCTATTTAATGCGATAACCACCCCCAAGCTCTTCACAGAGGGAGAAAAGATAGTGGTCAATCAACAGAAAAGTATTTCCTGAAATCATCCAGAAGTTAAAATCTAATTCTGTTAATCTATTCTTGTATTAAGTTACACACTTTAAAAACGTGAACAAAACTCAATAATACCAACACACATAAACACACATATGCTTTTCCAATTCAGCAATTTCCCAACTTTATTATTTACTGGTTCAATGACTAGATTCCTGTAAAGGATTTTTTTTTAAAGTTTATTTATCGGGGCACCTGGGTGCCTCAGTTGGTTAAGCATCGGACTCTTGTTTCAGCTCAGGTGATGATCTCCCGTTTCTGGAGTTCGAGCCCTGATTCTCTCTCTGTCCCTCCCACGCTTGTATGCACACACTCTGTAAAACTTAAAAACAAAAAACAAAACAAAACAAACTAAAAAAATTATTTGTTTATTTTGAGAGCAAGTGCACGCGAGCAACAGAGGGGCAGACAGGGAAAGAAAAGCCCAAGCAGGCTCTGCACTGCCAGCATGGAGCCCGATTCGGGGCATGAACCCAGGAACCATGAGATCATGACCTGACCTGAAACCAAGAGTCAGACTGCCTAACTGAATGAGCTATCCAGGTGCCCATCCTGTAAAGGATTTATATAAAGACAACGTTATGTTTGTTTTACTATAAAGAGAACCTAATAGGGGGTACCTGGGTGTCTCAGTTGGTTAAGCGTCCAACTTCAGCTCAGATCTTGATCTCACAGTTTGTGGGTTCGAGCCCCATGTTGGGCTGTGTGCTGACAGCTCAAAGCCTGAAGCCTGCTTCAAATTCTGTGTCTCCCTCTCTCTCTGCCCCTCCCCGGCTTGCTCTCTCTCTTTCAAAAATAAATAAACATAAATTTTTTTTCTTTTTTTTTTAAGAGAGCCTAATAGGATTAAAAAACAAGTCAAGATACTCTAGAAAAAAAATGTTAGGAATGACATGTCAAGAGAGAAGTACATAAAGAAAATCTCTCTGGAGATTTTCTGGAGTATGTTTTGGTGAAGTCAAGTTTAAATTATTGTGGCTCTTTTTATCAGCCAATTAAAATGCAGGTAACATTTAAAATTCCAGAAATCCCATTCTTTAAAAGAACGACTAAACCAGAAATATTTGGGGCACCTGGGTGGTTCAGGAGGTTAAGCATCCAACTTCAGCCGAGGTCATGAACTCATGGCTCATGAGCTCTGTGTCGGGCTCTGTGCTGACAGCTAAGCCTGGAGCCTGTTTTGGATTCTGTGTCTCCTTCTCTCTTTCTCTGTTCCTCCCTCACTTGCACTCTGTCTCTATCTCTCTCAAAAATAAAGACTAAAACAAAAACCAAAACAAAACCAGAAGTATTCAACAGTACTCACCTGCAACTGTACATACTGACAATTGGCCATCAAACATTCCATAAAGAGACAACCAGGATTGCTAGGCCATCTAGTCACTGGATAAGGAGATTTTTTTTTTTTTTTTTGGCAAAACTTTAAATCATATACATATTGGGCATCAAATACCATGTAATGACTTAATTTTTAAAAAAGAAGGTAAAGAGAAGGGGTTAGAGCACATGTTCTTTCCACATAACTATATAACCTTAATATAAGACAAATATAGTTTAAAGGCTATACACTAAAAGCCAGTTACCTAACTCAGACCTCAGTTAACTAGGGGCTAAAGCACGTATTTCATCCCTGGACGATCACTTCTAACTCTGGCGTATTGCACATACTCTTGATGCCCGTGGGACACCCAGCATCTACCACATAGTGCCTGACGTACAGAGCCATTCAATAAATACCTGATACACGTATAATGTTGTAAAAGAGATCTAAGTATTACATATTTGTGTACCAATAAAATCTGGCTAACTCCTGAGGAAAATAAAAACTAGGACATCTGGTAGTAAATATTATTATTTCTTGTTGGGGGAATAGCACTCAACCTCATTAAAAAACTTCATTATACAGGGAGAATAGAAGAGTCTTCGACTATTTAGACAGAAAAAACCTTCTAACTGGCTTTTAAATAAAAGGATACAGAAGCTGCAATAAATAATTGGTAACTGCAGTAATCATCTCAGGCCAATTCAACCCAGTTTGGCTCAGAGGTGCCTTTGGTTGAGAGAAGAGATGGGCTATGATGTATTTTCTTGCAACTTCTTGGAAGAATAATTCCACAATTGTCTGAGGGCTAGATACTTGAAAAGAAAAAAATTATGACAATCACCAATTTATGACAGTAATATCAATTTTCAATTAAGATAGTCTACCAATTCATGCTATATCTGTAATAAAGAACATTTATTATTTCAAAACATGAAATGTACCATGGGTGTCATTAATGGCAATATAAATAAAAGCAGTTTGTAAAGTGTGCAGTACTATACAAATGCAAAAAAAAAGTCACTTAAATCAACATTGCGTTCGTTTCTTTTTTTCACTGACCTCACTACAGCTAAGCATCTTCCTTAGGAAGTGTTTACATTAAATATGGTCTCAAGATTCCATGTTTTTGTTTTTGTTTTTTAAAGTTTATTTATTTATAATCTCTACACCCAACATGGGGCTCGAACTCACAATCCTGAGATCAAGAGTCACATGCTCTACTGACTAAACCAGCCAGGTGCCCCAAGATTCCAAGTTTTTTACCAAAATAATATAAAACAAATTCTCCAGAATGGTTCTTAAGCATGAGAGATGACGCCTCTTGAATTTTTATTAAGACAAGATTATGAAAGCTACCATGAACTTAGTAAATTTAAAAAATAATTTTGTTGAATTAATCACTGGAGCATTAATAAACAATGGAAAAGCAGCAATACACATGTACATATTTTCATATGCGCAACACCCTTAATTTATGCCTGATTTGGGCTTCACGGGGTTTCATGGACTCCCTGTCACAGCCAGCTTATTAACCTCCCCAAATGAAAGCAGAGCTTACCTAATCTTTCTGCAGCAAAGGTGGCAAAGGACTTTAATGAATATGCAATAAAAGCCCAATTTAAAATCAAACGCATGCACAGACTAGTCCTTACCAAACTTATTTCCCGTTACAGCACCAGAGTCTGTTAGTTCCAGTACTGACAAGTGTTGGAGGTTGGACTCCCTGTGAGAACAAAGAGACAGTAGTTCTACAAAAACATTGCTTCAACAAGCTCTCCTACCAGGAACACTGTCAATTTGATTAGTAAGTTGCACATCAAAGTTCTACTGAAAGAACACTGCCAAACAGGATGGTTTATCTTATATTGAAAATGTAAATCTAGTAAGTAATAGATTTCCCTTTTTATTTTGGTTATTAAGGAAGCTCAGCCTACCTTTAATAACTGGTATGTTTTTGTGTGTGGTCCGACTTTCCCTGCGACCTCATCTAACTATTTTGCCCTCAGTAGGATTTATCTTTACGTTAAACACACACACACATGTAATAACTGTACACCCCAAACTAATGTAACATTGTGTGTCAATTATACTTCGATTTTAAATAAGCATTAAAAAAGTGGGTGTTTGTGAAAAGTCACCTATCTCGACAGTTTTTAAGACAAATTTTAGAAATGACATATATTTTCCACTTCCACTTCAGAATAAACATTTTTTCTTTTCAAAATGCTATACGTATAATAAATACATACTTGGTATTTTGATTCTTATAAGTTGTCTTCAACCTTTAGAAAATGAAGCATCTAAAGCTCTCTGAATTTTAAAGGCAAATCATGTTACTGCATTATGTTTACAATTTTTTGAAAATGATGAAAAAACTAATCAAACTTGCAATTTATTTTAAAAATAATTAGAATAATGAAACTCACAGTGTGTCAACTGGAACATCAGTTGCTAAGCACTGACTTCCCCACTTAATGAGATAATAACATAAGAGGAGAGGAGAGGTTCGGTGTAGTAGGTCTTGCTGGGCTTGAAAGAGCTGATCAGCTCCCAAGATCGCCTATACATGATGGGTGGGTGGGTGAGACGGGACACAGTGATTAGTGATGATAACTCTTAAGGGTCAGGTGGAGGTAAAATAAATAACAAAACACAGTTACAAAGGGCATACAAAAAAAAAGCAACATATGTACATAAATAAAGGCAACACACTCATTAAATTTTAGCATAGCAAAAATAGCTACCCAAATATTTAATAGTGCAAAAATGCTGATAGTGAAAGAGAAAACAACAAAAGTGTAACTTTCATTGAATGCGTGGGTTCAGAATTCAAGAACAGGAACAGGGATAGCTAGCCTTTCTTTATGCTATTAGCCTTGGGTAAAGACAATTATGAACATTAGAGGAAAATTTGGCAAAACCACCCAAAGCCTTAAAAATGTGCATAGCCTGGGGTGCCTGGGTGACTCAGTCAGTGGTTAAAAGGGTACGACTCTTGATTTTGGCTTAGGTCATGATCGCACGGTTTGTGAGATTGAGCTCCGCATCAGGCTCTGCATGGATGTGCAGTGTGGAGCCTGCTTGGGATTCTCTCTCTCCCTTTCTCTATGCCCCTCTGTTCCCTTTCTCTCGTGCTCTCTCTTAATATAAATAAATTAAAAAAAAAGGAAGGGGCATAGTGTGTGACCAATCAATTCTAGTTCTGAGAATTTATCTTAGAGATATAGTCAGAGGTGTACAAAAGTATTTAGGTAGGAGGGAAAAACTGGCAACAACCTGGCAGGCCACAGATGGGAATGGCTGAATAAATTAAAACTGTGTAGGGAACTTTAAAAAAATAATTTTGTAGAAGAATACTTAACGACATGTGAAAATGCAGATGAGGTGTGTAAAGTAGAAAACAATTAGATTCCAAAAATACCATGTAGCATATTCTAATTCTAGAAATAATGGAAACAAAACATTTGCATAGGAGAAAAAAGGATATACACTAAAATGTAAGTAAACAGCGGTTATCAGCTGGGTCAATTACAGAGGAATTTTAATTTCTTTTTGTTTACAGAGAGGCTTACATATAAAGGTTCTATAAAGAACATCCATTACTTCCGTATTTAGAAAAAAACAATGGTTATAATTAAACAAACAAAAAACCCCACTAAAAACCCTGAAGAAATGGAAGATTCTACAAAGATTGAGAAGAACTTAATAATGGCTGCCTTAAGTAATGGCCTCTCAGGAAAGGTTCCTGTTTCTCTTTGGTGGCTTAAACAAATCATCTTCCTAAATGTTTTTCCTTATTTTTACCCGAAATTCTACCATTATCACTATATTTGGGCTAATAAATTCTGGCTTAAAAAGTACAAACAGGGGGGCCGGGGTGGCTCAGTTGATTAAGTGTCCAACTCTTGGTTTAGGCTCAGGTCATGATCTCACAGTTTGTGAGACTGAGCTCTGAGTTGGGCTCCATGCTGACAGCGCGGAGCCTGCTTGGGATTCTCTCTCCCCCCCTCTCTCTGCCCCTCCCTCACTTGTGCTCTCTCTCAAAATAAATAAAACATTAAAAAAAAAAAAAGTATGACTAGTTCTGAGAGCCCCAAACACCTTTCAGTTATTTACATATTAACATGAGATAACTAGACTGCTTCCTCAGGTCAGGTTCGTGTAAGATGACCACCTGAGAGACAAGTGGGACTTTTGCATGAGGGTGGAAAGGCAATCTCCAAACATGGAACTTTCAGTAGGGTGAGAGACAAGGACTATCGGACAAGAGTCTGGTGGCCTAAGAAGACTAGGATGGAAAAGGAAGCACAGAATAGAGTTGGGAGGACCTCAAAGACACTGCCATCTCAAAAACGTGCTTAGGCTAAATTCTGTACTGCAGAAAGAGAATTCTTTTTCTTCTTTTTCCTCTTTTCTCCACACTAAATGGTACCTTGCTACCACATGCAGAGTAGTTAGTAACAATATTAAATTTGGGGAAAGCCATCTGGGGAAATTTCCCCACTGTTATATATACAAAGGTTAATTATAAAATAATCTGCTTTATGTACTTAAAAAAATTTTTTTTAACGTTTATTTATTTTTGAGACAGAGAGAGACAGAGCATGAGCAGGGGAGGGTCAGAGAGAGAGGGAGACACAGAATCCGAAGCAGGCTCCAGGCTCTGAGCTGTCAGCACGGAGCCTGACGCGAGGCTTGAACCCATGAACCGCGAGATCATGACCTGAGCCGAAGTCGGACGCTTAACCGACTGAGCCACCCAGGCGCCCCTTTATGTACTTTTTAAAAAAAAGTTTATTTGTTTATGTATGTATGTATGTATTTACTTATTTATTTAAAGGTAATCTCTATACCCCAAATGGGACGGACTCGAACTGATGACCCCGAGGTCAAGAGTCACAGGCTCTTCTGACTGAACCATCCTGGCGCCCCACTTCATATACGTTCTTAATTTGTAATTTTAGATTATACTGTTTACTCATTCTTAATTCAACGAATATTTATAGAGCACCTACTACAGGTCAAACATAGGTGACAGAGCAGTGGACAAAGACAAAAGTCTGCGCTCATAGGGCTGACATTCTGCTCTGTGTGAGTAGATTTTACAAGTTTTCCTTCAAGCCATACTTACCGCATCGCCCAGCCTCAATAATAGGTGCTGTAAGATCAAAAGGTCTCGGCAGATGAGGAAGCGAGTGCTGGCAATTTTGCACACACCTCTGCACACAATATATCCTGCTGTGCTGCCACCATATAGCTGGGAAAGATTCATCCGAATATTCAAAGGCTGAGCTATGATTAAGAGGAAAAAAAAGGAAAAGTTAGAAGAAGTTAAATTGCTTTCTCTAAATCAGAGACATGTTTGCTTTTTGTCATTTACCTGGATTGAACCCCTTTTCCATTTCTACTTCTGTCTCGTAATCCATCTCCCGTAGAAGTAGCCCAATGGCATGGACTGGGTTCTTGATCTCTTGTAGCTTACTGCAAATATCCTCCATCACATTTTCTCTAGAAGGACAATTAGAAAACCATTACTACTGAGAATAGGTAATGCAGACTGTTTATGTTCCGTAAACTAAATGCTCTATGAAACAGGAAGACCAGCTACACAATAAAGAAATGGAGATGGGGCGCCTGGGTGGCGCAGTCGGTTAAGCGTCCGACTTCAGCCAGGTCACGATCTCGCGGTCCGGGAGTTCGAGCCCCGCGTCAGGCTCTGGGCTGATGGCTCAGAGCCTGGAGCCTGTTTCCAATTCTGTGTCTCCCTCTCTCTCTGCCCCTCGCCCATTCATGCTCTGTCTCTCTCTGTCCCAAAAATAAATAAACGTTGAAAAATGTATTAAAAAAAAAAAAAAAAAAGAAATGGAGATAATCACTCTGGCATATAAGATACCTTTACTTCATATAGAGAATTTTTCCTCATTTTTTCAGAAATGACAGAAAATGAATGTGAGAAAATACTTTTCTGTTTTAGAATTCATAGCTTAGTTAGTAGTTTAACTGACCATAACTTATGAGTTAGCTTCCAGATCTGAATTCATATGTTAGATTTTGCTTAAAAGGGGAAACACCTATTTAGAACTATGACAGCTCACTTTATCCATAAGCCACTATTGTCCGTACTTGAATGTACATTAAAAACCTGACACTGGCACTAAAAATTGCTGAATTTTCATTAGGAAATGCACTTTACCCTAAATTCTCCTTACACATCAATAGTGATCAAATCTTCCAGAATCTGTTCTGCAGCCTTTTCTGGAGACTGTAGGTTGTAACAACTCATTTCCATCATTACTGACATGTCCATAGTTACTGACTCTCCAATCAGCCGAAGGCATTTTATAAGACACATGACGTCCCGAGCAACTTCCACATCTGTAAGAGAAAGTTAATATTCACGACTCAAGCCAATGAAGAGCTACTGATTAACATTATACTAAAATAAAATATTAATAATTAAATGCCAAGAATCTATCTGAAGTCTTAGAGATGCTTAGGTCTCTTCAGTTTTCCTTATAGCATCTATATTGTGGTAAACTGACCAGGAGAGGTCATAGTGGCAATCAATGTTTTTTGCATCCAGTTGAAACAAAGCACAGGGTTCATGTAGGAAGGGGCTAAATATGGTCACAGTAATTATTATTACCATCAGATATGGCTGCCTCATCCTCGGCCAAAAGGTCGTCATCAGGATGGAGATACAAATGATCCACTAAGGAGGAAGGCACAAGGAAAGACAGGTACCCCTGGAAATATAAATCTTCCAGTTATACTTTTTTTCAATTAATGTTTATAGGTGTAAAAAAAATTGAGACCAGATTCTTATCAGCAGAAAATACCAGACAAATCCAGGCTGAGGGACACTTTATAAAACAGGTATGGTCTTCCAAAAATATCAAGGTCATGAAAGACTAAGAAAGGTTGACAAAAGCCCTAGATTAAGCTAAATGAACATGACAACCAAACATATCCAAGATCTTGGATCAGACCCTACTCAAGAGGAAAAATTATGGGCACAATTGGTAGAATCAGAATGTAACTGTATGATACCATATCAATATCGAGTTACCTGATCTTTAAATTGTGCTGTGGTTACGTAAGGATACTCTGTTCTTAAGATACGTGGTAAAATATTTAAGGACAAAGGGGCATAATGTCTACAACTAACTCCCAAGTGGCCCAGGAAGAAAAAAACGTATAGAAGGAAGGAAAGCAAATGGCAGTTAACAAACGATGAATCTGGAAGAAGGGTATACAAAAGTTCTTTGTGCTATTCCTGTAGCTCTTTAAATGTGAAATCAATATATAATAAGATAAAGAAAATAAAATGCAAGAAAATTATAAATAATGCAGGAGACTATCTAAATACAAATGAACTAGAATTCTAAGAAAAAAAATACAAAGTCCTAAAAAGCTAACAACAACATACAACAGACTGATACTCTGAAAGATCCACTGAATCGTCTAAAGGATTAGACGATTAAGGATTAGCTTTAGCTCCCTTACTTTTTTCAGTAGGCACACCATGTTTGTGTGTGGATTCAAATGCAGGGCAAGAGGATGAGAGAGGGCTTCTTGGTACTGAAGACAACAGGCATAGAACTTGCACCAGAATTCCTGTTGTAAATTTCGAAATTCCTCCTGGGAAAATTCATACTCTGTTACACTTCCTTGGAGCTGGCAAAGAAGAAGACAAAAAAGAAACTGTTAATACCATTTGGGATCTTTCTCCTCCAAAACCTAACTGCCTAATATCATTTTACTAAATTATAACCAAATGAATATCCCTTAGGCCTTACATGCCATAGATTTTATATATATATATATATAT